CTGTACATTTATGAAACAATTTTTCATTTTCTGTGCAAGAAAAGTTCGTGTCTTAAGTCTTTCGTTAATTTCATTTGCATAATTATCTTTCAATTTGTTTTTGTTTAATTTTAATACTCAAACATTTCAAACTAATGGAACGCAATGAGAAAAGTGTTTTTCTCTTTCCCATTCTTCGCAAATAGTTTAGGGAAGATTTGTTCATGTTTCGTTCTCAGCCAGAAATAGTCCTTCGAGAAAAAGTTCCTTAGACTTTTGTTCCCGTTTTGTTTTTTGCCAGAACGTTTCGGAAACTTTGCTTCCCATTTTGCGCTTTTAGAAACGTTCCCGATAGTATTATTCGCATTTTGTCCTTTTTGGGTACGTTTCACAGGGTTTTGTTCTTATATAATTCCCGTTGAGAACGTTATCGACAGTTTTGTTCTCACTTGCGTTCTTGTGAAAACATTCCCGAAGGTTTTGTTCTCATTTCGGTTTGGGTTTTTAAGCGTTCATGTGAACAAAACGACAAGAACGACATTTAGTTTCGATCATACCTTTTGTTCTCGGTCCCTAATAATAACAAGCTATTTAAAAAAATTATTTTGAATATGAGCTATATATATAAAAGACTTCTAGTGCCTGCTTGGTGAAACGGTCAATTTACAGGAATCATTTATGTAAATTAATAGCTCGGCTGTTGCTTATCCGATCGTACATATGTATATATGTATATCTGCCAAGTATAGGACAAATCGGAGCATTATATATAATATTTAGTCCCAATAAATTCGATTTTCAATAATTTGACTTTTTTACGACTTTAATTGGAATATTATTTACTTAAAATTTTTTTTTTGTATTTTCGTTTTCAAACTTTCAATGCAATCATAGTAATTAACAATGCAGCATCGATTTGATGAAGATCGCGAATTTTTCCAAATTATATTGGGTCCGAATTACATTTGCAATGGCACAATACAAGCAGTAAAAATAAATTGCCAGGACAATTGTCGAAAAAGGGGACTGCCTCGAACAAAACAGGACGAATGGTCACCGTAGGTAAAAAAATGCTATTCCAATCATCAAAATTTTTAATTAATAGCAGCTAGAATGACCATTGCACCCACTGTGCATCAGCTAGGCCGCCACCCGAGCACGGGAGCAATGTGTGTAAGCACAAATGCCAATGAAGGGGGCTGAGAAATTACAACGCACACGGTTGATAGCAATCAAGCAAGCCAAAGATAAAACATTCGATTCGACAACCGACCCGCGTTTCGTAAATTAGCGAGGGAATCGTATGCGCGCCTTGGTCCGGGCGGGGAGTCGTCGGCATTGCGTTTCGTCACTCACATCTAAAGTATCATATGGCCGTTTGGGTGTTAACGTCAATTAATGTAATATTTCTCTTTTAAATCAATAGATAAAGTTCCGCTTTTTTATGCAAGTTGTATGTATGTATGTTTGTATGTATGTATGTATGTATGTATGTATGTTTAAATTACTCACATATTTATTAAAACCTTATTTTGTACGTGTAAGTCGCATAAGTGGGCATTAATACCAATTGAGGCGCGGAGATAAATGCAAATACATACATACATACATACATACGAACATACATTGTGAAATGACGTGAATGTGAAGCAAATAAAAAACGTATGCCAACAAAAATAGAGAATTACTTACAAACACAATAGTATCATGGAAATAAGTACTCGTGGGAGCGCTGAATCGGCTATGGAATGACTAAAATAAATAGTAAATATAATTTATTACTTGACCAAATAGGCTTAAAGCGCGTAAAGCAGTTTCGGATTACTAGACGGATACTATTCCCACGTACGAAAATTACTGCAGATCAAATAAATAAAATCATTTTACTCTTCTTATTGTCAAAAAAGTCGTTGGAATGCGCTTTAGAATGTGCGACATTCATTATTTTCCTTTTTAAAAATAAACTTTGCCGTCTGTAAACTCCAAGTAAGTTCAAGTCGTTTGCTTCTATTCATTGTGGAATTTTACAAAACTAGGGGAACTTAATTAGTAAAAATATTCGGTAGGTACTCATGCAAAAAGTGTACATTTCGGCTTGTGTTATAGCACATCTTTTTCATTTTATTAGAAATTTGTTTCTGGCTTGCCAACTCTTAAAACGCCTGACTTAATAAAGCCCCATCCCATTTAGTATGCTACAAAGCAGCGCAAAATTATTTTAGCGAAACAGATATCCTATGTAGGCACATCAACGGATCATCGGTATACATATCAAGAAGAAGCGTGACGAATCAGAAAGAATATGGTAGGAATATCAATGACCTCATTTAAACAGGAAAACTCTTTCATCCTGTGGAACAGCAGGATTATAGAAGAAGATTATGCACTCTCGGCAAACCTTTGAGTACTCGCAGGTGGAAATAAGAGCTCATAGCTTCGAAGGAGACTAGTGGATATACGACACGATTGATAGAATACAAAGGTTGCGCCGATCTCGGACCGCTATTCCTCTCTTAACGAATTTGACAGAATCGTTGTTTGCATGACGTCACACTGGTGCAACTTGTTTACGTTTTCCTTGCAACATTTTTGCTTCTTCTTCCGTTCTGGCATTTCTCTCTCGCAATTGCACCAGTGTGACGTCACACAAAAGTTATTCTCAAAAATCCTCTCTGATCGGCGCAATCTTGTATTCTATCATTCTTGGATATACGATATGGTATCTCAGCGCTATTATTATTGGCCCATGAGTAAGTAAAGTTCCGCTCTTCAGTCGCTACGACATAAACTTATAATTTTTACGTTACAAACCGTTTTTGCTTTTCAAAACTATTTTTGTATTGGTCAACGCAAAAGCTCTTATCAGGCGTCGCGAAGCAAGTCGAGCGTTTGAACTAAAAGCTCGTGATTAGTGTGCCAAAATACCTTATTTGGGACCTTTTCCAAATAGATTTTCTTATTTTTAGAAAAATTGTCAGCTATCAACTGTAAAACTATAAGTTTTATGGCATATTCGGATTTAGTAAAATTATTAGAATCGTAACAGTCCTTCAAAACAGTCCTGCGTAAAACATCGCCCATCCGACCATTATGTGCCGGAAGCTTTTGAGGCCTTGAAAACTTGTATTAACTTTGGGCTAACATCGTTATTTTTTGGATAACCAGGCAAGATAAGTTGTTATCATTATGACTTACTGGTGCTCCTCACCAAAATCAGGGTAGGGGATTCAAAGGAAAAAAGATTAGATGACAATTTTCATCTGATGCGAAGAATGAATAGAACAGAAAATGTTCAATTTATATCAGGCCATTGTACGGAATGTACCCTCATGTTTCATCAATCAGATACCAAATTCAAAAGCATGGTCTTCACATGTACGTTAAGTTTTTTTTTGTAGGTTTACCACCTACTAAATTACTACACTGAACCAAAAAAATACTAAAAACCGCCGTAAAGTTAACATTTTTTGTTTACAATTTGCAACTGAAGTGAAAAAATGTTAATTTTAACATTTCGACACTATCATTTTTACGTGAAATTTATGTACATGAAACACGTAAAATTAACATGGCTATCATGTATTATTGATATGATACTCATGTATAATTAACATGATATTTATGTAATACTTACGTGACAGTAACGTTAAAACTACATTCAAAAATTGTTAATTTGAAATGATACTTACGTGACAGTAACGTTAAAACTACATTTAAAAAATGTTAATTTCAAATGATACTTACGTGAGAGTAACGTTAAAAGTACATTTAAATAATTATGATTTGAAATGAAAATCACATCAAATTGAAATTATTTTCAATAAATTTATTATTTTTTTTTAAATAAATAGGCACATATTTACATATTTTTAATATGAATAAACAGGTACTAAAAATTCTTATTTCTTATAACAGGAGTTCCTTCGTAAATGTAGTACAAATGAATAGGTGGGCTTGTGAAAAACTCAACATTTTTTAATTCAATAACATTGTTTATACAACCAACTTTGTACGATTGATAGTGCTCTAAGAAACCAATAATTTCATGTTTGTGGACTAGAAAGTAAGCCTCATTATTTAAACTTATAAGTATTTCTTTTATTTCATATAGTTCAATGACTTCGTCAGTAGTTTTTGTTAAAAAGTGGCCCTTTTTATACGTCGTTCCTTTAAAGTTTACTGATTTAACTCTTAAATTATTAGCGAACAAAGATTCAAAATCTCGAAAATTCGCGATATTGTTAAAATACCTACAATCTTTAATCCGAAAATGCTCAGTTTGTTCATATTGAGTTTGGTTTGGAAACCCATCGTTATGGACCCTTATAAATGTTGTAAACTTTAAAGATGCTTTCATGCTTAGACTATAGGTTATATTTTTTCTGGAAGTAATACTTCTTGCATACATTTTTGCTTCCTTGTGCTTAGATTCGAATCGAAAAGTCCATAAGTATTTAAGAGGGCCTGATTGTTTTATGACACGCACATAATGATTTAAAAAGTGAAATTTAGGTTTAAGGGGCTTGTGAAACAATTCCAAATACTTTTCATTGTGGGATTTTATTAAAGAATCTAACTTAATTAAATAATTTGTATCAAATGAGCTGCTATTAATCATGTCAATAATTTTGAGGAGCGTTAAAAAAAATAACCAACATTCGTCGTTGTCTGGAATGCGATCTCCTATGATTAGAGGAAGGAAATGTACAAACGTCATCATTTCTCTAGCCGACATTTTGAGATTGCAACTAGAAATGTGCGTTAATTCAAAAGGAGGTGATAAATTTCCGATTTCCGTTTCACCGTAGTTAAACATCTGCTTCCTATAGTTAAATGCTTCTAAGGAAAATAATTTCTTTTCAATTATGAAGTATTTTAGAATTTCACAAATATCATATTTACAAACTCCTTCAAACAAACATATAACAAGAAAAGTATTATTTTAGTTTAAAAAGTATCTTATTTATATGTATGAACGTGTACACATAAATATGTATGTATATAATATATATGTTACTCACTGTCGTTTACACATTCGTTGCTTACTGACCCAAAAAGATCTACATATTGTTTATCCCTCAACAAATCTTTATAAAGTTGGCCAAGTTGGTTCCGCATATCTGTCCAATTATTAATTAGGTGGAAATTTTCGTCTGGGTACATTTTTTGGAAGTCAAAATCGAGCTACATACATAAATTAAAAATAAAAATATGCGCATGTAAGTGTAACTACATTAGTGTGTTTTAAAAAAGTTTAAGTACGTACAAATTTTGGTCCTGTAGCTTGTTTGTAGAATGGCCACTCTTCCAGGATTGACGTTAGGTCTTTTAAATCACGGATATGATTAACCCGGTATTTATATGTCTCGCTCCATAAGTTAATTGCATCGCTTTCGTCACCACTCATAAAATACATTTTATTCTTAAATGAAATGTAATTAGTGGAGCATAGTGTTTCCCTCTCAGATGCATTCTGTTCCTCTGACGTGTTGCTATCAAGTCTTATGCGCTTGCGATTCAAGTTATTGAAGCGATTGTATAAAATACCAGATGCATTGGTTCTCCGTGCGTCCTTGCGAGATATGTAATAGATTTCCTTATTTTCAGTAGGAAAAATTGCTACAATTTCTTCAGCCAATTTATTCATTTCATGTGGACGCGGTATTTTGTACTTTTTCGAGTTTAAATCGAAGAAGTTTACCACAATAATGTTAAGCAATCTTTTTCTATCACCTGCATCTAACTTTTGCTTCGTTTGATATAAGCTTAATAGAGATTGGCCACTTTTCGAGTTTTTCACCATGTCAATTACACTCTACAATAAAATTAAATTTAGAAAAAAAGCACCGCTTAAAAACAATCGTTACCGTGACTTCAGACGAAGTGGAATTGGTAGCTGGCGAGTCAAGAGGTTGATTTTCAATCCAATTTTTGATATTTGAGTTCATACTTAGAGTCGAAACAGATTCTTCTGGAAACTAAAAAGAAAATAGTTAATATTCAAACAAATTATACTAGTTACAACTTTATAAATAAATATATTACGTTATTGTGCTTCCAAAGCCTTATTTTTTCCCTTAGTTCTGCTCTATAACCGATATTTTCGTTCCCTGGAAATACCAACGCCAAGTCGTCACAGTTTATGTACTTCAGCCGGTCAAATGTGATTCCAGAAGCTTTAGATGGGTCAGTAAAAACATTATCCATTATGAAAGATTTTTATTAAAAAATAAAACAATCACCATAAAACTTGTCGTAAGCGGCTTCTATATTCATCTCTTTTAATAAGTCTTTTAATCGCTGATCTCCTCCTGATTGAGTTTCGACAATCTAGGAAAACAACATCGTAGTATTATGATCAGTCAATGTCGTTACAGCTTTAAGTTATACGTGTAAAAAACATGTCTATTATAGAAAATCATTTCTTACCTGTTCTAAATTTCCACTTAATATTTCATACTGAGCAGATTGCGTTATGATTTCTCCATTTCCACCAATTTCTACAGGCGTTGCTTCCAGAACGATATGCTGCCCTGCGTCATTCATAGTCAGCGAAACATTTTCGCCAAATAATAAAGAATTATCACTCATTTTCACAATCTCTATTAACTTTCTGAGTTGTTTCTTATTAAATATTCTCACAGTTTGCACTTTAAACGACTATAAAACAATTTCAATGCGATTTTCAATAGATCTAGCGTTTTTTATTCTTTGCATGCGCGAACATGAGTGTCAACTGCTGTTGTCATTTTAATATGAGAATAATATAAAAATGTGGATTTAACAGTTTTCATATCAATTTGACGTGAAACCTATTGTTTTGACCATTTTCAATGTTAATATGACATTTTTCTCTCATTAACATGTGAAATTGATATGACAATTTAATAACTGCCAATGTTGATTTAACAGTTTTCATATCAATTTGACGTGAAACCTATTGTTTTGACCATTTTCAATGTTAATATGAAATTTTTCTCTTATTAACATGAGAAATTGATATGACAACGTAATACATGCCAATGTTGATTTAACAGTTTTCATACCAATTAAACGTGAAACCTATTGTTTTGATCATTTTCAATGTTAATATGACATTTTTTGGCGGTATGTAAAATTGATAAAGCAGAAATGTTAAATTTACATGAGACTTTTCTCTGCTGTAATATTAACATGAGAAATCGATATGACAACGTAATACATGCCAATGTTGATTTAACAGTTTTCATACCAATTAAACATGAAACCTGTTGTTTCGATCATTTTCAATGTTAATATGACATTTTTTGGCGAAATGTAAAATTGATAATGCAGAAATGTTAAATTTACATGAGACTTTTCTTTCGGTGTATTTTATCCTTACATAGTATTAAGCAAAGTCAAGAGATTTTACGTTAATATCGAAAATTACTGAATGGATTTGGACGAGATTTTGTTTAATATAACCTATATCGATAGAGGTAATACCTTTAATATATAGAATTTCTGTAGGGTTGCCAACTGTCTAAAAAATTTAAAGATCCGTTCGTTGAATTACAAAAATTGAGATGTCAAACGAAAGGGTTTGGCTTCTAGATATTCAATAACGTGTTATTTTTTGAGTAGGGTTGCCACCTTTTTAAAAATCATAAGATCTTCACCGTGCGTTGGGCTAGGCAATAAACTTTTTAAGTGGGTTTTCCACCTATGTAAAAATTACCACCTTACATATAATACGGGACGGCATTTTTTGTTAATGACATCATTTGCATAGTTCATTCAATTATAAAAATGAGGTGTGCAATGCAAGAGCTTGGCCTTCAGATGTGCAATAAGATTTTTATTTTTTCGAAGACGGTTGCCACCTGTACGAAAATTTATTAAATGTGGGTGTTCGTTGGACTAAAAAGATGAGTTGTCAAATCAAAGGCCTTAGCCAATAGGTGTGCAATAAGACTTTATTTTTTTAACAGGGTTGCTCACCTGCTTTCTCCAAATGCATATATTTACATACTTATGTAAACGAAAGCTCGCGCGTACAAGGCCGGCTAGTGTATTTATAAAGTAAGAATCATACTCCTTATCTCTTTCGGTTACTTTCATCCTTTTAATGGCTTTTACCAAGTTTTGGGTTAAACAAATAATAGAATGGAATCAACCAAGTTTTGACAGTTTTAAAGAGCAAACAACTTTTATGCATGTGTCAGCGACTAAAAATACTATGCACCGCTTCCCACTTTCATCCTTTTCATTGGCGAATCTGGGCTGTTTACAGGTTTCCTAGTCCCCATTGGTGCCCTTCTTTGCACATGCATCTCCTCGTTTGTAAATGCAAATGAGTTTTCTTGGTTGATGGCTGGCCAAAAACTATTTAAATGTCAAACTCTTCAATTATATATCTCAAAATACTCATCTTAATGCATACTTAATTACTGTTCGTCCTGTACGTGTTTTGTATTTGACATTAAACTGCTCTAAATACATTCAAATGTATGCAACGTAACTAAAGCATTTGTGTTTGTGCACTTTGAAATCTCTAAATTTTACAGCAACAAATATCAATTTGTTAACTCAATAAATGAGTTTGGTTAAACAACCAAAACAACTATAATTATACACGCACTGACTAACAAAGGACACTAAGCATAAACAAATGTCCAGTCGAACGAGAATTCTAATGCGATTTTGCTCAGCAGGGATCAAATGGCCATCATCAGTGGGTGAACCATAGTGACAAACAAAACTTTATTGCTAATACAAACATGTCGTGAATTGAATTCTCTAAATTGTGGTGAAACAATTCAACTGCCGGGTTTAATGCTTAACAACCTAACTAGTTTTGTAGTTTGAAATTCAACAATGGTTAGTTGTTTATACCCGGTAATACTGTTGCTATTCTGATGTTGGTTAGTTAAAATTTTCATAGGCTCAATGGATTTAAGTAGACACTAAATATGTAGGAAGTTAGCTGGTGTTTAATGAATTACATATACATACATACACATGTAATCTATGTATGCTAATAAATATGGCACATCCGAGGATAAGACACGGATTACAAGTTTTTTTAGTTTTCTTCAAAAAAAAAAAAAACATTAGCGCCAAAGACCTGCTTCCAACAATTTTTTTTTTTCTTTAGTTATTTATGAGGCGGGCGCCATAGCCGAGTGGTTAGAGGTTCGATCCATGGTCAGAGCAACAACCAACAAAATTTTTTTTCTAATAACGGTCGCCTCTCTGCGGGCAATGGAAAACTTCTAAGTGTACTCCAGCCATTAAAAGATCAGACACCCATATTGTGGTAAATATTTCAATTACCTATTTCGATGATACTCCTTTTAACTTATTAAGAAACGTTAATTTAACTTTCTAAACAGGTGTCAGCCCTCTTCATATCCCTCAAAAATATTCTAATTTTCAAACTAAAGATTTCTTAGCGTGCGTTTGTTTGACACACGTATTGGTATTTTATATAACTTTTGTAAAAGTAAATAAAATTCGACAACTCAAACACGTGGCAACCTTCTTCAAAATATAACTATACACCTTCGCCTCGCAGAGACGAACACGTAGGTTTCCCAACCGGATGGACGTTCTCGACATCCAACAACCTGTTCGCCTTTAAGCAGAGTTTTTTTAAACTTAAATTAAGTTAAAAAATATTTTTTTTTTAACAACAAAAACTATTAAAACTATGTTTAAAAATTTGATAAAATCTAAAAATCAAAAAAATATATATATCTAAAAGAAAAAATTAAATCAAAAACGAAGGAAATAGTCATTAAAAATTAAATAAATAAAATGAAATATTTTAAAACAAAATCTTAAAATTAAACGTAAATTATATGAAATAAAAAACTATTTTTCTTTTAAAAACTGTAAAATCTAAATCCAAAATTTAAATTATACTGAAAAAATAAAAAAAATATTTAATTAAAAATATTAGAAAATAAAATACCTCTCCAAAAATTTAATACAATTAAAAAATATATATAAATTTAAAAAATATATTAAAATATCAACAAGCAAATTGATAACGTAATATAGATAATTGATAATGTAACAAGGCCATTAAATATATCGGTAACGAAAATAATTTAACGATAATAAATCTTTCATGATATCGATAACTATACCGGTTATGATATTGATAACTATATTGAAAATATGTCGATATCGATAACGGCATCGATAAGTATGCCAAATATGAATCCGAGTATTGTACAGTTACCCATAATTATATCGAAAACGATACAAAATAGTATATCAAAACGATATCGAAAATTATATCGATAACGATATCAAACAAGGACCGAAAAATAAGCGTTAAATATCAAGATTTTTATTTTTAGATCTTTGCAAAATCGTTAATTTTTGATTTTTATTTTTACGATCAAGAATAATTGTCAAATATGCAGTTTTATTTTCTCGATCAAGTTTACTCGTGATTTTGTTATTTTCCAACAGTGTAAATAAAAACAAGAATTAGGGACGTTTTCTCGACTTCCTGTTAAATTTATCTTACCGGTAAACATCGTTATCGACGTTATCGGCTGCCTTTTATATGTATGTGACAAAAAAAGACGTCGACGCATTTACCCTGAAGATAAATTTAACAGGCATTCAAGAAAATGGGACTTTATTTTCTGAATTTTGAATTGTGTTGTTATTGCAGAGACCATCGAAATGAAATGCATAAACTCTTTTAACCGGGATTTTCCATTATCCGTTATGAGCTCGGTTCCGAACATATAAAAATCAAAAAATAACGATCAAAAATTTATCGAACAAATAAAAATCCAAAAAACGATTTTTTTGATGGAAAAAAAATTTAAGTTATAAAATAAAGTAAAAATAGAAATCCAATTTGAATAGTCAAATTATGATTTTTACTATACATAAAGATCGTAACCGTTAGGGTCTCTGATATAAAAAATGTATCGATAACGATATAAAATGTAAAATAAAATATCTATAAAAATATCGAAAAATATAGCGATAACAATACCAAATAATATATCGATAACAGTATCGATAAATAAATCGATGTCGATAACAGTATCGATAAATGAATCGATGTCGATTTAAGCAAAGGTCCACTATCTACTTACTATTGCAATGCAATACAAGTTTAACAACTTAAATTTTTTCTTTAAATACGTAATGCGCCCCTCCTTGCGAAATCATGCAATTTATAAATCTTCGAAAAATATATCTACAACAAACTATACTAAGTTCGAAAGTCCCAAACAGACTGCCCAAATTTAGTTTTATGTTTAGAAGTGCAACTAACGGGTATTTCAGTTTTCCAGCGTGTGAGAGTGTTTGTGCATAATTGAATTTGAAATTCTTGCACAGCTATGATGCAAAATTTGTTTATATCCTGTTTATTTGTTTATTTAAGTTTGACAATGTTATGCATACTTAATTGCACGTAAATGTAGTACACACATACATACATATGTATGTACATGCAAAGGTGAAAACATAAAATAAATATGTATATACATACATACGAACGCTGCAAAATGGACATTGTTCGTAACAGATACAAACATATAAGATAACTTGCAATGTCCATCTGCTACATTATTATTATGAATGTTGTCTGAACAGAGATTTTAATTTGTGTTAGCGAGCATATGTATGTGTTGGTATGAATGTACATACATACATAAAAACTCAAACAACAGAAAAACATATAAACAAGCAATTTGTCGTTTTGACTGAAAATCTGAAAATCTTGCTGACAATACCCCAACAAAGCAATTTGTAGCAAATTTGTATTTTTCCTTCGTTTTGCAACAGGCATTGCATATTTTTAACTTTAAGTTATGTACATATGTATGTGTGGTATGCACACTTTGCATTTCAAGTGCTTTATTGATGCCATCAATATGCCAAAGGGAAGTGGCATCTGTTTTTTGACTTTTACGCATCGCAAAATGTTCACTTTCAACTGCTAATTGTGTAAAAATATTTTTCGTTTACTTAAATAAGTCTTGCTATTTTTAAGAAATTGGCTTA